ATTAACTTTTATTAGGGTATAACCTATTTGAAGTAGTCAGTTGATATCATCTGATTCTATGAAAGTTTTGAAATATTCCATTCTCCTGAAAACTGAATAATAATAAACGAGATTGGGGGATTTGTTTATTTTTCCAACTAAATTCGAAGTATTGACTATTTGATATAAAGGGGAAAAGTTATAAGTAAGTAGGGACTTTAATGAATTGATACTCTGACTAGTTTTGATGAGGAAATATAGAAAACTGTTTGGAATTCATCATATTTACTCTTGAGTTTAATCTTATCTTCATTCATCTTTATTTTATAATCAATCCATTTATTATTATTATTATGTAACTTTGATCATTCTTTTCTTCCAGGACTTTCATATTATTTATCATTTGAACAATTTTTTATAATTTTCGTATTGTTTGTTGCACAAGCTAGTGGATATCTGGGTTCAGGAGCTAAATGGATAACACGATAACATTTGAAGTAAACGGTATTGAATTCGAGTCAAGGAATGTTGCGTTAGGGGAATTTATTTCAAACTTTCTTTTTTTCAGACATATATATTCAGAATAAGAAGCGGGAAAGCGAAGCGAGTCGGAACGGAGAAGGTGAGCGAGTCAACTCGATATGATAAAGTGTGACTCAATTTTTATAGTCAGACAAAAATAAGCTATAAACATGTGATGGTTAGAATAAACAATGCACTCACATACGCTCATATAAAACACAGTCAAGGTTAATAAGCGAATAATTGACAAGGTCAAGATTTAACTCAAGAAGAATGAATAAATTGATCTGTTCAGAAGCTAGAATAACCCCTGTGGGCTTAAGATGATACTAGACACTACAGAATATGGAAGAAATGTTTACTTGGAAATAACTCATTACTTTTATTTAGAAATGTTTAACTAGGCTTGAAAGAAGAGTATTAAGATGGGACTATCAAAAATAATAAAATAATTTAAAAATGATAAAGGCTGTGAAAGATGGCCTGAATTTTTTAAAATTTCATTACAAAACCTTTGCATAATTACTGAGTACTTTGGGAAAAGGTGATATAGATTTATTCACCTATTGTTCTTTACATTATGAGGATTATGTTCTAATCAACAATTCCATTCATTGATTCTACCTGTTCTTATTTTCTTCAAGTGTTTACCATTATTTTTATTACTTTAATTACCATGTTCTCACTAGCGACTAGCTTCATGAGAAAATTCTCGGAGTTCTGGTGAGAAGCCGTGACCAGTAGAGCTAATCCGTGTCGGGTAGAAAAGTGTCTACCTCAGTACAATGGAAGATGGTCGCGTAATTTCGTGGGCTGGTTGAGGTTAGACATTAACAACATTGGATGCCGGCTCAGTGGTCTAGTTGCTTAAACTCCTGGCGCGAGACTGATAGGTCCTGGGTTCGAATCTCGTGGGGTGCGGGATCATGGATGTGCACTTCTGAGGAGTCCCTTACTAGGACAAAACGGCCGTCGAGTGCTTCCAGGTTTTCCATGGTGATCTAGCTTCAATTGACTCATGATGTCAATCAAAAATAATCTTAGTGTCTTTTATGAGACCATTGAATGAACACATAGTTCAAATAAATTACATACTTTTCTATTCTTTTCCACTTTTCCATTTTTGTTGTCTGGCAAACTGAAGTTCTGGACTCAATATATTACTGTATGTTGACAATAAAAAGAAATTAGTTTCATATATTAGTAAATCAACATTTTTAATTTGGTGTTTAAACATGTAAAGCACTATGTAAAACAACATGTATGTTTGTTTTCCCTCTCAATGAAATCTTAATCTGATATCATTGAGGTTATATAGCTTCTGGAAGGAATAAGCAAATAATATATATATATGTGACCGGTTTCTAATAAGACTCAATCATTGAGAACAAACGTTTTATAATTGACATTTGTTTAGAACCGGTGAATTTTTTTTGGTATTCCAACTGCAGCTTACTAACTAGTCGGTAGTTCATTTCATCAATGTTTAGTTCGATACCAAAGTGTGTTATATAATCGTCAGTATAAATAAAAAAAGACTCATTTTACTTATGTTCGTTTATTTAAGCTATTCTTCGTATAAATTGAATATCCTAAGTCTACTGATTAATAAATCTGTCATAGTCGACAGTTTTGGATAAGGTCATTTTAACTGAATGTAATTAAGTGTTTATAAAATTTCCGTATTATCAGAGTTTTTGATGTTTATCGATGTTGGGGAAGTTCGATCCCCAAAACTCACTTGGGAAAGGACCTAATTTTGTAATTTTATTTAGAAAATTTAAATTTCTTTGTTTTCGCGCCAAAGGCGCTCTTGTCACCATGTCGCATTTCCCACTGGTAAATATCTTGAATGCTATTGGTCCGTTGCGTCTTTTAGTATGCTATTTGGTAACTCTCGCGAAGGACGGTTCTGCACTGTATATATACGTTTTGAATTGTGTTTGTTGTTATCGCTCGTTTCTGGCTGTTTTGCAGAATATACTTCCCATTCCAAGCTTGGACTTCTCCCTCTAGTTAGGGGGGCTGAGACGCATCAGTAGCTAGCTTACTGGTCTTTGGTCATCGAGTTTTGTTCTTGTTCGCAGATTAAGTGAACTCATGATAGCTTCAAACCTAGCAATCCACTGGGTGATTTAGAAAGTATGTGACTTGCAAAAGAAATGTATCGGTCTATAAGATTAAGAAAACTGAATTACTGAAACGATTTGGACGACTTTCATGATTCTTTATTGAACCTTTGTTAACTGTAAAAGTAGTTACATTGTTCAGTTAACACTATGATTCATAAAAAAAACTTACTTTTGATTCCAGACTTGTAGAAAGATATAACTTATTGATATAATCAACGATTAACTTCCTCTGTTTATCCGACTTATTTAACAATTCTGATATGTGTAATTATTTTCAAGCAGTTTTATTGTTTTTGATTTACAGTGCGCATTTGATATGGAATTCATTGTAAACAGTTCCGTATCTTTTCAACCACATTTAATCCTGTAAGTGTTAAAATCATCGATTTTCCGGATTGTTTGATACAATATTACTTACTTACTTACTTACTTACGTCTGTTACTCCTCGTGAAGGAGCATAGGCCGCTCATCAGAATTCTCCATCCAACCCTGTCCTGGGCAATCCTTTCCAGCTCCTTCCAGTTATTATTCATCCTTTTCATATCTGCTTCCAATTCTCAGTGTAGTGTGTTCTTTGGCCTTCCTCTTTTCCGCTTCCCTTCAGGATTCTAAGTTAGGGCTTGCCTCGTGATTTAGTTTGATGATTTGCGTAATGTATGTCCTATCCATTTCCATCGTCTCTTCCTAATTTCTTCTTCATCTGGAAGCTGGTTTGTTCTCTCCCACAGAAGGCTGTTGCTGATGGTATCCGGCCAATGGATGTTGAGTATCTTGCGAAGACAGCTATTTATAAATACTTGCACCTTCTTGATGATGGTTGCTGTAGTTCTCCAAGTTTCAGCTCCGTACAGCAGAACTGCCTTGACATTCGTATTGAAGATTATGACTTTGATATTGGTTGAAAGTTGTTTTGAGTTCCATATGTTCTTCAACTGTAGGAATGAGGCCCTTGCTTTGCTAATCCTTGCCTATACGTCTGCATCTGAACCTCCTTGTTCATCGATTATGCTTCTCAGGTATGTGAAGGATTCTACATCTCCCAGAGTTTCTCCGTCAAGAGTGATTGGATTGCTGTTCTCCGTGTTATATTTGAGGACCTTGGTTTTCCCCTTGTGTATGCTGAGGCCTACTGATGCAGAGATTGCTGCTACACTGGCCGTCTTGATCTGCATTTGTTCATGTGTATGCGATAGTAGGGCCAGGTCATCTGCGAAGTCCAAATCGTCTAATTGATTCTGAGCTGTCCATTGTATTCCGCGTTTTCTCTCAGATGTCGAGGTCTTCATAATCCAGTCGACCACCATAAGAAAGAGGAAGGGAGAGAGTAAACAGCCTTGTTTTACTCCGGTCCTTACTTGGAATGCATCTGTCAGCTGTCCTCCATTCACGACCTTGCACTGTAGTCCGTCATATGAGTTCCGGATAATGTTGACAATCTTCTCAGGAACTCCGTGGTGTCGAAGAAGTTTCCATAACGTCCTCCTGTCTACACTGTCAAATGCCTTTTCATAATCAATAAAGTTGATGTATAGTGATGAGTTCCACTCAACTGACTGTTCGACGATGATCCGTAGTGTTGCGATTTGGTCTGTGCACGATCGATCCTTACGGAATCCAGCCTGTTGATCTCGAAGTTGAGCGTCTACTGCATCCTTCATCCGGTTCAGCAACAATCTGTTAAAGACGTTTCCTGGTACTGACAGTAGTGTAGTGCCTCTGTAGTATTCACATTTGCTCAGATCTCCTTTCTTTGGAATCTTGATGAGGTGTCCTTCTTTCCAGTCCATCGGCTTTTGTTCCTCCTCCCAAATCTTTTTGAATAGAAGGTGAAGCATATTTGTAGTTACTTCGATGTCTGACTTCAGTGCTTCAGCTGGTATGTTGTCAGGTTCTGCTGCTTTCCCGTTCTTGATTTGTCTGATGGCCATTCTGATTTCTTCCTTCGTTGGTGGATTGACATCTATAGGAAGATCTGTGTGCGCTGCTTCGATGTCCGGTAGATTCATTGGAGCCGGCCTATTCAGGAGTTCCTCGAAGTATTCTACCCATCTGTTCCGCTGTTCTTGAATTTCAGTGATTGGCTTGCCTTCTTTGTCCCTGACCGGTCTCTCTGGTTTACTGTATTTCCCTGCTAGTTTCTTCGTTGTATCGTAAAGTTGTTTCATATTTCCTTCCCTTGCAGCTTTTTCTGCCGTCGTTGCTAGTTCTTCCACGTATTTCTTCTTGTCGGCTCTAATGCTTTTCCTCACTTGCTTGTAGTGCTGTTTGTCCAGTTGTCCAGTTCTTCTATAGCTTCAGTTTCATCTTGGTCACAACTAGATGGTGATCTGAAGCTTCTCTATGATTGACTGTAGCTGCTCGTAGAATTAATCTTTGATGTCGTCGTTGCTATCATTGGTGAGTGCACAACATTGGATAATATTCATTGTGATCCCCTCCTTCTTTGTTTTGAATGATGCTTTGATGATTCTGTGAGATTCCCATCTTACAAGTGCATTTCGTGCTACTTTGGCAGCATTAGAGCAACTCACTGAGTGTGTGGAGCATTTTCCTCTTTGTGACCGGAGTACAGCAGCATCTCTCCCGTATTTAGCCTTTGTTGTCCAGCTTGAGTCCAATGGGTTTCGCTGATTCCCGTTGCTATTTGACTGGTCTTCCCGATCTCCCACATTGTTCGGACATTCCATTTACCTATGAAAATTTCTGCTATGGTTGTTAGAAGGGGCATCGGCCTCGTGGCTTCCGAAGGAACTCGGCTTTCACCATGAAGCGTCATAATTCTTCTAAATGAAGACCTAACTTTCAGGGCAGAGTTTAAATGGTTTGAATTATTTTTTCTGGTAAGGGTTTTTTTAGCGAGTTAGTTTTCTACGGGATGGGGGAGCTAACCCCATGCCCAACCCTACTCCTTTGCCCGGGCTTGCGACCGGCAGTACCTCTAGAAGAGCTACAGGCGGAGTTTTGATACAATATTAGTCAAACATAAACACAGGCAGTATTTAGTTTAAGATATTTATTGATACAGTAAAAAATCTTGAAAGCAGAATTAAATAATAATCATCAATATTAATGACTGATTTTTAGCATGAAAAATTATGCTTCCATAAAGATCCAGTTCGAACATCTTAATTTAGATCTACTGTAATTCATTTTTAGTCCAGTTACTAGATCAATCTTCGCTGCTAGCTTGATTTATTGGTTTGGCTCACTTGATTTGAAAGCTCAATCGAGCTATATTTGCTGGAATAGTTCTTTTAAATTATTTCATATTAGAAAGTTGACTGGAGAGCGATTTGACTATAATCAATGAACACATGATCGGAGGGAGAAATCGTACAGCTGACTGTACAGAAGTGTGATGGCAGTTAGGTTAAACTACGGTGGCAAAGATCACTACCATTTAGGTTTCCTTTTCAGAAACCTTAAGATTAGGTATCCCATCTTTATGTGTGCGACCCTTATACCTCTAACATCTTTCGAGATGACCTTGTCCATTATAGAATCTCTTCTGTGATCAAATCATACCAGCAAATTGTTACACTCTGATGTGCAAAATAAAAATAAGGAAATAATTATAGTAATACTTTTGTTTATTTAGAAATTAATGTGTATTTTTCATACTTAAATAAAAGGTAATACCAATAGTTGGGATCATGAGTCAATTGAGGCTAGACCACCATGGAAAATCCAGAAGCACTGGACAGCCATTTCGTCCTGTTGCGGAACTTCTCGTCAGTGCACATCCACAATCCCACCTCGCGAGATTCGGACCCTGGACCTATCGGTCCCACACGCGAACTAAACTCTAGACCACTGAGCCGACCGGCATCCAACGATGTTAATGTCTAACTCTGACCAGTCCACAAAATTGCGCAACCATCTTCGTGTATAAGGCAGCTATTTATCGAGAACGATCGAAGATGGTCTCGTAATTTCGTGGATTGGATGAAGTTAGGCATTAATACCATTGGATGTCAGCTCAATGGTCTAGAGGTTAAGCGTTTGCGCACAAAGCCAAATGTCCTGGGTTTGAATCCCGCGTGCGAGATCGTCGATGCTCACTTCTGATAAGTCACATACTAGGACGAATCGGCCATCTAATGCTTCCAGGTTTTCAATGGTGATCTAACACTGATTGGTTCATAATTTCAATCAAAAACTGAACAATCTCCACAACCTCATGTTGATAATTTCATTTTAATATCGTTTTTCTTTTAATGAAGTATTTTATCTTTTATCATATCTGTACTTAAATTTTATTTCATATTGTTCAGTCATACAAATGTTGGGACGCATATTTCACTTTGTAAGAAGAAAAATGAATAGAGAACTTATCAATGTTTGATTGGCATTTGTGAAATAACACAATAACATAGTTATTTTTATGTTTGTATTGAGAGAAGAATTTCGTGAAACTAGATTTAGACACTTTTGGTTAAGAATATTTCGAGATTTTGAAAAAAATATGCTAAAAAGCTAAAAAAAAATCCATTGACAGTTGTAGATTTTCGACCGACAATTTTGTCTAAATTTGAAACTTTTCAACAATGTATCGAATCAATTCGAAGGTGTTAAACAGTAAGTATTCATCAGTGATATTGAAGGATGGTTGTATTATTTCACTAATTGGCTGGAACCATACATATTTTCTAATGAATTTTGATATAACGTTTAATTAATTTTTGCACAGTCTATGAGAATACAGAGTTGTTGTTTTTTTCCCTGTACATGTAGTTGTTTATTTTAATTGTATCTTAAATAGTCACGTAAATTGAGTGAATATAGAGGATTATTATTTATTAAATGGGAGAAATGAATGAAAGATGATTTTATACGATAAATGAACAACCATTAACTCTTAAAAAACACGGATAAACAAAGAATTTATATATTACCTATCTTGAATAGTATAAAGTTATGTAGCTTCAAATAAAGATATTGTTTTGAAGACTTATTTATTTGTATCAGAAGGGGTTTTGTGGAGATTTTTAGAAATTTCAATGATTGAAATCATGAGTCAATTGAAGCTAGATCACCATGGAAAACCTAGAAGCACTAGACGGCCGTTTGGTCCTATTATGGGACGCCTCAGCAGTGCGCATCCACGACGCCGTTTCGCGCGATTTGAACAAGGGACCTATCAGGCCAGGCGTTTAACCAACTGGACCACTGAGCCGGCCGGCATCCAACATTGTTAATGTCTAACTTCAACCAATCCACGAAATTGTGCCACCGTACACCATTGTCTTCAGTGAGCTGATATCTCACTACAGAACTGGTTGAACTCGACTGGTACAAAAGGTACAAAGAGGCACCAAATACATGTGCGCCACACAAATCTCATTCTCATTGGACGGCCGTTTTGTCAATGGTGGTCTAACGTCAGTCGGTTCATGATCTCAATCAAAACCTTTATATTAGTCAGCCCCAACATCAACGATTTGATTCTATAAATGACAAACAACGATTCTTGATTCATTATATGTGAAAATTATATTTGAAATAATAATCTCAGCAATTGAAATTTCAATAATTTCAACGTTTCGTCCAGCTAACTTGTCTGGACTTCTTCAGGGTAATAATCAAAATCAAAATCATCAAAGAAATATATAGCTTTTTAGTAATCAAAACCATACCGTGATAATCCAATCATATTTAGATGTTGATTTTTGTAAAATAGGATAACGTGAGTCAGTTACATGGTAATCATGTGAAAACTTCACAACGTAGATATAATTAGCTGAAAACGAATTGTATGTATGTAAGTGTGCGTAAAAATGTATGTATGTGTAAGATTAAGTTATTAATTATTGATATTCGGTGTTACTATGTTTTATATGAAGAGGTAGATAAACAAATAAAAGTGCAAGTTCAAGGTTGAAAAATTGTTTCTGAATCATTGATGTGCATATCAATTTGAGAATCATCAAGTACATTATTGCAATGCTAAAAAACTCATTAATTTCAGTCAAAATAACGATGCATGCGAAATAAACAGGTTGAATAAAGAAAGGGTCAAAATTACTTGTCAATGAATATTTGCCAGGTGGTCGCTAGTTGAATGCCATTCTTTCCGTTCAGGCTGTTCTTGTTCGCCCATGTATACAGCGCTTCTGCTGTTCAATCTTTATGAGTGTTAAAACCTATCTGAATTATTTTGGTCCTTTCAACATTAATCTTGTGTCCTATTTTTAACGCATGTAACGCTATCGCAGACTTATTCTGAAGTTTTTTTTAAGTCGACCGAAGATTCAGGAACATTTTTCAAACACTGTTTGTGTTCCTTCAACCTCACATTCAATTATCTGTATACTTCTCCCACATAAGCTGCATTACAGTCATAACAGTTAGTTTCATAAACATTATTTTGTTGTTCTTCCTTTGGTAACCTATCCTTAACTTTCACTAATATCGATCTTACGGTGTCAATCGCCCTAAAATACACTCTTATACCATGCTTGTTTAGAATCCGCTTGATTTCTTCCAATGTTTCACATTCTAATTCAATTTTTCTTGATCCATGTATTACGGAAATCACTAAACTGCATCACGAGACAAGCCCTAACTTGGAATCCTGAAGGGAAACAGAAAAGAGGAAGGCCAAAGAACACGCATCACTGAGAATTGGAAGCACACATGAAAAAAGATGAATAACAACTGGAAAGGATTGCCTAGCACATGGTTGAATAAAGAATTCTGTTGAGTGGCCCATGTTCATCGCCGAGGGGTAACGAACATAAGTAAGCATGTCAGTAAACTTCGTAATCAGATTCCATTAGCTCAAAATAAAGAATCTATGGATATCGGTAAATGTTACATATTTTACATAAACTTAATTAATTTTGATAAATAATATCAAAAAGTTACACAAAAGAATTTGCATATTTTCGAATACTAATTATTTCTCGTTGAATACTTTGTTTATGATAAATTTTAAATCGGGTAATTTTGAATAACCTTAACAAATATCATTCAGACCATTATTGATTGATTAATTAATTAATTAATTGAGTGATTGGATGGTTATACTATTAATTCAAGGATCATGATCAACTTCATAATAAAGGTTTCTATATTTAAATAAATTAGTATAGGCAATAAGCGGTTGTTAAACAGAAATATAATCAGAAGGTATTCACAAAAACTGTGTAGATTTTTAGTGGCCCAAAATCCGACTCCAATTAGAACGTATGAATGTTTGTTATCGCCTATCCTTGTATATAATCATTGAATTAAATCGCGTTAGTCAATAACGGAGTTAAATAAGTCGAATAACGAGAATGGACTCGTGAATACATGTATTTTGTATATAAAGCGAATGGAATAGAGAGAAGAGAAACGATGCAGAGTGGAGATGGCGGGTAAGCCAACTCGCATTTAACCAAGCGTTAATTAATAGTTATAGTTATACAAAAGTAAGTTACAGACATGTGATGAGTAAAGGGATAAGAAATGTGCACACACTTACGCGCTCATATAAAAACAGTCAAGATTGATAAGCGAATAAATAACAAGGTCAGAATGTGACTCAAGTAGAATGAATAGAATGGGCTGTCCGAAAGCTAGAATAAGGTATATGGGCTTAACATAATAACCGACACTACGGTCTATTCGTGACCATTAAACGTTTAATAATTTTAAAGTGTTATTGCATCAAGTAAAAAACAAACACAACTGTTTACTAATGAAAATGATAAACAAAGTTTCAATGACTCAATCATCAAATTTTAGCCATTAATTTCTTTTTTCTTTTTAAAACTGATATTTTGCATGATAATTAATATGATTTAAGTTCACTTTTTGTGATGGTTTAGGCAGATGTCAAATTTTGAACAATTATTAAGTCGTTCTAAACTTTATAGTTATATTGAACATCCAGAGTTGATAATAATCAGATAAATAAAGAAATAAATATGTTGAGATCATGAGTCGATTGGAGCTAAACAAACATGGAAAAAACCGGAAGCACTGGAAGGCCGATTCGTCCTATTGTTGGACTCCTCACTAGTGCGCATCTACGATCCCGCCACGAGAGATTCAAACCTAGAACCAATCGATCTCGCGCGCGGACGCTTAACCACTAGTTCACTGAGCCGGTCGTCATCCAACGGTGTTAATGTCTAACTTCAACCAGTTCACGAAATTGAGTGACACATCCACCATTGTCTTCAGTGAGCTACTATCTGCTATGTCCCAACAAGAATAATGAATGGTAACTTTTGGGATCTATTGACGGACCAATACTAAACGTATATTTCTATTGTATAATTATTAAGTAACTAAACTATGCATATTCATATTTCTCTTATTATAAGCTTTATTTTGGCCCATAAACTGTTATTATACGTTTTACCATTCTTGAGTTATAACCAGTATATTAATTACTACCTCTCTAATTCACAGTCACATCTGACTAATTCTTGTACAAATGTTGTTTCATATTTTATTGGTACGTTGAGTTCTGTTTGATCGGTATATAAACTCAGTATGTTTGAAGTATGATGATTCATATCGCAGAGGCTCGGATTGGTGTTCTGGATTTAACTGATTGGGCTAGGCGGAAAGCAGGGCCAATCAGGACTCTAGACTGCTTGCACGTGTTTTACGCGACCTTGGTCAGATCGATAAGTCACTGCTCTCTAATCGGCGGTCACAAGATATAACACTATCTCTCAACAGACCCAGTTGAACTCCACTGATCAGTGCTTCTCACTAGAACTCCAGGAAACGCATCTTGAAGTGAGCCACTAGTGAGAACATGTTGATTGATATAAAAAAGGTTTTTTTTGTTGATATTATGATAACTCTAATAGTTCAGATCATGAGTCAGTTGAAGCGCGCGAGGCGGGATCGTGGATGTGCACTGTTGAGTTGTCACACAATAGGATGAAACGGCCATCCAATTCCATCAGGTTTTCCATGGTGGTCTAGCTTTAATTGACTCATGATCCCAACTATTAAAATCACTATAATATCTACAAAACCCCTTCTGAAATTATACATTGTTTTGGAGTTATCATTCAATTTTAGGTACCAATTTTAATACTAATCTGAGTGATCATGATTTACGATTTTCTTTCCTCTTCACTTTAAAATTTAAAGGGGTTATATAAGGTACTGAGTGATTTGTGCTACATATGCACATAACGATTTTAGTAAGAATAATTATAAACTATAAATACATGTTGAAAAGAGCTAGAACAAACATACTAGCAGAATAGCATGAATTCATTTTTTTATTTCGTAGGTTCTCGTCAGCTGCTTACAACCTGTGATATTAAAAAAATCATAATTACATAATGGTTTTAAATTACTTACATGAAAGAGTTTGATTGGAAGTTATATTGAAGACATACTCGTATAGTATAGCAAGGGTGTAAATAAATTGAACAGACTGAATATTGTAAATATATACCTTATATGATGAAAGAACATTGTGACAACAGTTCAAACGGCTAGAAATAAGTAAACATTGATAGGAATAAAATGAATAGACTTCAGTTGATAAATTAAGATTAATAATTTGGAAGATAGTTGGAATAAAACTCAAGGATGTGATAAGTGCAAGAAAGAGATTAAAGAAAAAGAATATATATATTAAGATACAGTGAAGGAATATTAGTCACCAAGGCAAGGAAAGATTAACAACCATCTCCTTTTGAACACATAAATCAGGTTTTGGCATCTGATAGCAACTGCTTCAGAAAACTACAGAAGACTGGAGTTTGGCTTCTTACTAATCACCTTGAATGATTGTAGGGTATCGACCTGATGTCCGATAAGAACGAAATAAAACTGAATTCATACTATTCGGCTAGAATGTTTGTTCTTGCTTGTTTCAAAATGATAAAGGGAACTATGTGTATGAAATAAATACATCTGTTCGGTATTTTTACAGAACCCTTATTAAACATGTTCCTATCGTTTTTAAATACTTTAATACATTTATCTTAAAGAAAATTGAGAAACATTATAGGATTGTGAACTTTTATAAGACTGACCGTTCAAGAATGATCATTAACAAGTAAATCTATACTATTTCGATTTATTACACAATGAAGAATATAGAATCAGAAACCGACCAATCATTAGATGGTGGTTGGAGGTAGTCGACAGGAAACCCTGGACCCGGGTTTCGTGCTACTTGGCACTCGTCAGCAAGGTGTACCTGTAATCTTGAGGGAACTGGTGCTCCCTGGCGGATTCGATCTCGTGTCACCCAGCTTCACAGTCAGAGACATTACCACTGAGCTATCCGAGCCGTGACCGACCTCGTGTAGGACTGAGATGTAATCACAATTGATTGATTGACTACCTCCAACCACCATCTAACCTCAATATATAGTGCCCGAAATGTCGAGTCAATTAGACTGGTGGTCACATTGCAACATGGTCGATAGCATTCAATCTGCACTAAATAAGGACTATACAAGCATGACATTGATCGCCACCCAGTGATCAATCAATTGTGACCGACCAATCATATTTCAAATTATCATTGTTTTAAACAATAGAATTTCATGAAAATAAATCAAAGTGTTTGAGTAAATATACTTTCATTATGATAATGAATTTGCATAATGAATCAATTAAAGTATGATTGATTACACTTTTTCACCTTTGCAAGTTATTAATCAATAAAAAGAATCACAGGGTAATCGAAAGTTTTTTTTAAAACTTTTTATAGACCCTATTTACCATCATTCAATGAATTAGTTTTTTGTAAAATCTTATTTACATTTATCAATTTAGATGAGATAATAGTGAGCATAGCCCAAAATGAGGAAATAAAAAAAGAAGAAGACATAACCGTTGAAATAATGATGCCTAGTTGTTCATTGAAATGTCCATCATATAATTGTTAATTAGTTTTATGATCTGTCACATGTAAACATCTATTACTTGTCTAAGCAAATTCATTTATCTCCATTCATATAATTTGAACAATCATAAGTTCCATTTAATGTCCATTCATTGTTATTTTCCTCTTCTTCTTCTTCTTCTTCAACAACAACAACAACATTATCATTCAATAATAATGAATGTAATTTTGAACTACCAGTTAAACGTAATATACGTTTTTCAGCTGCTTGAATAATTCTTTCTAAACTTTCATAATTCAATGTTTTTAATAATCGTATAATTGAATTTCGAACAATTTTCTCATTCTACATAATTCAAATCATTAAAGAAAAAGAAATTTCCTTTTTTAAGAATTAAGAACACTGAAATTTATAAATAGAATCATGAATTAACAAAAGTTACTGAATGGAAACATGGTGACTTTAGTTGATATGTACTAAAGCATTAACAAAAGTGAGGGATTTTTGAAATAAGGTATGAAAGTATATAAATTAGGGATAGGTTATTTTATTTATTTATTTGAACACATGGATATTGGTACACTGGGGCACCAAATATATATGCGTCACACAAATCACATTTGATTTGTGTGAGGGCTGTGATACTGCTCGGGTGCCTAGACCGGAGCAGGTGGTTATCTTAGGGGGCCACACCCGGAGCCTTCGACCAAAAGGTCTGATCCACAAGGCAGTGGAGCATCGTAAGGAGATGCAGTCCCATGGTAGCCGGTGACCAACGACTGGTTCATACGTCATTTAATCCCTCAGTATACTGGAGCCCATGTGCATCATAGGGATAGGTTAACTATTCATAAGTTCAATTTAACAATTTCTGTAATATTATTTTTCATATAGGTAGTGCAGTGAACAAGAACACGAGTGGGGATAATGAAATGTAACAGAACACAGAATTACAGAATATCTAACTAAAGTCTGAGAACTATACAGTGAATACTTAATTTGCATAATATCAATCAATTGTCTCAAACTTGACTGTTCCTTTTGCAAATATCAGTCTATCGTCTCATAATTCATTGTTCGTGCATTTTCATACCAATCACTTTCCATTCCCATCCTTTTATTCTCGATCTTCTATTGAAATAAATTCTATTACTGACCATCGCTATATACTACTTATGTGTATATAAGTAGCTCACACCACAATAGTATTAAATTACTAAGCATTAATTCATAATGCCTTAAGAATAACTGACAGAAGTTCTACGCTTTTTATCATGGACAAATTAAACACTTAGAAACATATTGTGTTGACGGCATGTTACATACTTTAACCTTGGATAGATTAAAAATGAATGAACTTGTATCCAGTTTTATCAATTATTATTATAACCAAACATTAAGGCTATAGTAAGAGATCTAACCAGGAAGTATGAGTTTACATACAAGACTGAGATAAACAATAACTAGTTTTATGGTTTGATGCTGTACCTTGATGTGGTCTACTACTAGTTTTTATCAAGCATGCATTTATGCAGGTCAGTATTACATTTCCAGATATAAAGGATGTGTAACACTAGTCTTTGCCGGTCCAATAGATGAGAGTTTATAGCCCCAACATTTGACCTGATAATCCTACTTCACGATACACTACCAGTGTTTGGAAGATATATTTCATCAAATGCATATGACTTACACATGTTTCCTTTTTGCCGATATAGACGATATCTTATATTCATTTCATTGATTCTGAACACATTTTATCACAGAAGCAAAGATATCTCAATAACTATGATTATCTTTTTTTTTACAAACTTTCAATTATTTGTGTTTTGTAGTTAGTTGATAGGAAAAACAGCTGATTGAATGACAAAAATCAATAGGAAATAAATGTGTAACTGACCATGGAAATCGAAGTATCACATCTGTTAACACTGGTGGTTTGTGTAAATATACCAGTAACCTCTTAATGCACATGCTAAGATTTTAGCTATTCCTTTGTAATCTAATAGTTCAAAGCCTGTAGATATTCTATTCTATCCTTGATGATGTCGTTGATGAACACGATTGCGAAGTTATATGTTAAGATTAAACACTTATTTAGTTCAATTTGTTTTTCAAATACTATTTAAGAGTAAAGTTAATTAGTAGTATGAACTATATTTGGATTAAAGAAAATCTCCATACAAACTTCCCATATCTTTTATTTTGGCAATCAGCTATATTTGTATGTGTGTACGGATTGCCAAGTTCATCTATCTATCTATGTCTTGACGATTAAAACGTTAGTTTAATTAAAAAAAGCCAATGTATACACTTACATTTTTCTTACAAAATTTATTTATATCTTAAAGAAAAACGTAAATGAACAAAATAGAGAGATGGGATATTTGACCGACTAGATAACTATACTTACCTTCTGATCGATCGATTGCAGTCGTTTAGCAGGTGAAGAAATTTTATTCTTATTTATCGGTTTTAAGCCGTATTCTTGACGAATTTTACTTTAATTACCAAAAAAGTAAACATTAAAGAAAACTAAATTAGGTGATGGAAGAATAGTTTTTGTATTAATAAGAAAATTGAGTAGATATTAGAATAGGGAATTGTTTTATAAAGTTGATTCAATTGAAGATGATTCATTGTGACAGAAGATATCGACTGGACTGTTGGAGACGTTAGATCCCCAAAACTCATATTATGTAATTTTATCTTTTTGGAGCTTGTATGCAGATGTATGCTTGGGCAGTTCTTACCACTAACGCTGAGTTGGGGACAACGGACCAGTATAACCTATCGAGTCTCTGAATCCTTGATTCTTCGTTCCGTTCCGAGTAAGACGAATCAATAGTAGCATTCAAGTTAACGAACACAACATAGACAATAAGTAGGTGATAGTGAAGTGGACGAACACTTGGTAGGGATAACCAATCTACTGTTTAATGCAAAATTACAGATTGTATTCATAAATTATGAAAACCATACATTAAATACATAATTTGTACATCTTCCTTCACTTGCCCATTACATACTTTATGATTCGTTCAGTTCTGTTGTTATTCCAACTCTTTTTCTGTTTACCTTTCTATTTTCTTCAACTCAATAGTCTTCCAGGCATTCCATTTCCGATTGGTGTTACATACTACTTATATCCGTCAAAACCACCAGCGTACACCACAGTAAGATACATTTGAATGATTGTTGGAGCATTAAAAAAAAATATCAACTGACTCCTTATGATACATTATTCTATGTCTGTTTGTTTGGTTTATTTAAGGTTGAAAAATAAAACAATTCTATAGTCCAATGCCCAAAATTCTAGTCTGTTCTTTTCAAAATTACTATTGCCACTCAGTTTGGTTACATTAATATAGAGCTATTTGACTTTGGAAAATTGTGCAAGCTAACATGAAAATCGAAGTATATGAAGAGGCTTTTTATGTACAATTTAAGAAATAAATCCCATCTTACAATGGTTGTGACTTTATGTCTGGCTTTCTATCACGTGATTTATCCACAATGAAAGTACGACTACTACAATCTTAGCACTGTGCCAAATCAATGACGTTCGATCGGTATGGACAGTTTAGCGTCCTTCTTGGTTCTATGTCCTCCTAACCCATTCACCTGAGTCTAGAATTCCAATACCAGCTTCCACTATGTGAATCATACATTTCAAACATACTGTGTTTATATATCAAAGAAACAGACCTCAACGCACCATAAAATAGGAAGTAACATTTGTACACAATAAAGCCAAAAAGTGGCTGTGAACGTGGGAGGCAATAGTCAATAAACTGAACATAGCTTAAGAACCGTAATCCGTACAATAATAAATTATAGATCAAAATAAAGCTTATAATAAGAGGAATATAAATATACATAATCTAATTACTGAATAGTTATACCATAAGAATGTATCGATAATATTAGTCAATTAATATGTTTCAGAAGTTACTCGTGATTTAATCTTCGCTTGGATATAACAACAATAAATAGTATAATTCTTTTTATTTATCATACTGAAGAATAGTTTCTTACATATACATACACTATATGCTATATTCTAATCAGAAGTCCTATCATCATTACAACATAAATTTATTGTTTTTCAAATTATAATGACTGAATGTGACAACTGTGATTTATTTAGTTGGATTGAATAGGCTAATCTGACTGGAGTTTTCGTACTTCAGAACTGATAATTTTATCAGTGAGTATACATTCACATTATTCTACATGATAAATGGTTTTTCTTCCAATATTCATTCAATTATTCCGGATTATAAGAAATTACTAGCAGTGTGATTTGTGTTACTGATGTCAACAGATATAAGTAGTATGTAGCACCAACCGAAATTGAAATGCCTGGCGGCAGAAGGTTAGAAAAATCGAAGAGAAGAGCCTTAGAACGGAGAGTGATTGGTATGAAAACTAAGGAACAATCAAGTCTGAGACAATTGATTAACATTTTACAAATGAAATATTTACTGTATGGATCTCAGATTTTACCAAGAGATTCTGTAATGTTGTATTAAAATACATTTGATTGTCCTCACTGGTGCTCTCGTTCATTACATTAGTACATCATGATAGGCATAATAACATTAGTGAACATGGCACAAATCCATGAAGTCACTGACAAGTGGACTGAGTCATGTTAGCAGGTGTAGGCTACCTGGTTGGGATCCGCGTGATGATAGCAACCGATGGTTAGAGACCTTGACTGACATGGCTCAAAATCGTTTGCAATGGCGTAGGTGCATCCAATCTTTGTGTTCTCGCAAATTCGAATCTTTTGAATTCTTCATGTCCCTTTCTTTTCTTCTCTTTTCAACTTTATTTCACTGGATTATACTCCTTGAATAATATCAGACCCTAGTCTTTCCGATTACTGCTTATACTCTTACTACCTCTACCACTATGGGATTTGAATCGACAACTGCATCTCTGTGCTAATGTGGTATGGCAACTCGAACTGGTGTACGTACGTACATACGTACGAAGTTCTACGTTGTTTATGTACAAAAGTATAAAAATGAAATGAATTGTATTATTGGTCCATATTAATTGACGTGTCTTTTTATGACTTGTAATGTCAATGACATTTGTAAGGATACTTAGATTATCTGTACTTTAGGTAGTTTGTATATATTACAGATTAAGAATTAAAAATAACATTAATGTCTTTAGTTGTAATTACTATTTGGCTAGTCTGTATATGATAAAGACATTTTGACTAAACATGTTGGGAGACAAACCTACTGGTTCATAATATATTGTAATAATACATGTGATAGATGATACAATCTATAAAAAAGGATATACACTTCTAGATAATTAACAGTGAATTAATGACATAAAGGTGACTGGGTTAGACGAGGGATTGGAACATTAATTAATATTATTAAGGTTATATATTAGTGCAAATGTAATACAATTACTTACTTTGTCTCTTTTAATGTGACATCCTGTAAATAGGATCTATTTCGACCTTTTCTTTTAATAAAAGGTGACTTAGAATCTATATTGTTATTGATTAGCTCAACAATATCATTTGTTGATCTCGGCTACAAAGTAATTAAAAAAAACATTTCAGTGAAGAGTATATATATATAAACGTTTTATTACCTTTTCTAGCTCGTGAAAAATAGGTTCATGAATCAGTCATAACATCCTGTATACATACAATGATAATACAGTAGAAGCTTCAGAAAAACTCAACTCGATAGACGGAAGGTTAAACTCAAACTTTTAGAAATAAGTAGAAATTTACAACTGAAGTTCAGTTGATGGGATCATCTGTTAAATTAGATGGAGATTAAATGATCAAGATATTTTTAAGAGTGTGATTGCATGTCACCTACTTGATGATGGATTTGATATCGACAATCCAAAATCTTTCAGTAATTGAATGAATGTGGTCTATCAAAGCGATTGCTAGTGAAATGTTGAATTCGAATTCATGCATTGAAAAGGATACTGTTGTGGGGGATTTGTTTGGTTTGTAGGTGGTAATCGTCACTCTCCATGTTGAAACTATAACCGCGGGCTTATCAGTGACTGATCCTAGATGAGTTCTTGAAGTTCTTGTGAGAAGTCGTAGCTTATGAAGTTCAGCTATATGTGGGTTAAATAGTCTTCATCAGGGTCATTCAATGACACGAGTCGTTTAAAGTTGGAAATGTATGGCACTGAATGCAGAGTCACTCATTTAATGCTTAGGCACCAGTTACTGTGTCTCTAGGTCGTGGTTTCGGCTGCTGGTATAATCATGGATGAATACTTTAGATAAATCTTATACTAAGACAAAATAGCCGACCAACGTCCTATGGTTTTCAAGGGTAATCCAACTGAGATCAGTCTCAGGTGAACACTACCTATAAAATAACTAGAAAGATCCAATGAGGTATATTTGTTCTGTATGACTTGTGTGTTTATATGTCTCGAATTATCCTCCTTTTTTTCAACCGATCACCCTGAAAACCACTGAAAATCATGAAGTACTAAGTAACTCATTTGTTTTAGTTTAGAACCGTCAAGAATTCAATGAATTAAAATTGAAAATCCTGCCGGTTGAGTTATAACTCAGGAGTTCAATGGTAGTGTTTAACTCACAACATAAACATTTCTTGTTCACTGCTACGCGCAATTTATATTCCATACTATTGAAGTCACAAACTAAGCTGAAATAGCTGTATATACTCAGCAATAGTTTGTGAATAAAATCATGAATTTATGTAATTTGAGTGTTTTTAATTTATGCTTCAACTGTTCAGTTTATTGAATGTAAGATTGAAATACTCTCATTAAAAATACTCTTGTGAATATTCTATGTATTCACAACTAATTTTAAGATTTAACTGTTTTTCTTTAATGGAAACTACGTGACAAACTTTCTATCTTATCTGAGCATTGTCATTTGAATATACCTAAATCTCAGAGTTGACGTTCACATAAAATCCTTTTCCCGAATTCCAATGATAGCAACAATCTTAATACAATGAAAATTTAAACTTAAACTATGAGATGATGGAGAAGATTTGTAGCTCAGGTGGATGATTTTGCTGTAGTTTTGTTCTTTGAGCTGGATGTTTCAGTCGTGGAGCTTTTATTTTACTTCTGAACGACATCATCAACACAAACTTCAGATAGAAGTGAAGCATCCGAATTTCTCCATATGTGGTTCACAGCTGTGAACCATGCTTTACTTCTATCTGAAGTTTATGCTTATGATATCGTTCAGAAGAACGATGCAATCTCCACGACCAAACCATCCAGCCCAGAGAACAAAACTCCATCAAAAACTTGAACTATTTTTCAAGTACCCACTCAAGATAAATATATGATAATCGAGATTCATCCAAATTCATTCATGACGTACAAACAATACTTTCAAATAATAAGTACTTTGAAATATTACTCTAGTATAATTGGTTACATTATTTTCTACCAAACAAGTGGGAAATTAACAAACCGATATATTTTGATACATGGAATGAATCAATTTCATTGAATACTTGTAATAATTGCGTCACTGAAGTTTACCATACAGAAAATTTTCGAATGATTTTATCAATACCTATTGGAAAAACGAATCATAGTTTCTTTCTACTATAGAATAAGCAGCTTTTGTATATGATACTTTACCAAAAAAACTTCATTCTTTGTACATAAAGTCAGCATTTATTCGAAGGTTTTCATTACAGTATGTAAATCATTATAATAATTTAGTAGACTGAAAATTATTCAGTATTGAATATATAGCGAGCTGGTAAGCATTTTTTTAAAGAGAGTTAGTTTTCTACTGGATGAAATCGCTAACACAATGCCAACCCCCCTTTGTCCGGGATTGGGACCGGAAGTAGCCCCAGAGGGGCTACAAGCATAAGTAAGGGAGTAATATGATTAGCCAAAGTAATGGAAGGTTTGAAACAATAAAATACCCAGAAGTTTGGTTGGTACTCATTATTGAGACGTTTACTGCCTCGTTTAAAATTATTTTAGGTAAAAAAATCCAGAGAAAAAAGGAATCTTATTCAAAGGTCAGTTAGTACAAATCACTTTTTTCTAAAAGAGCCTATACTTTGATAAATAAAAAGCGACAGAACTTGCTCATAGTCTAGAATTTTAATGTAAATTAGCTTACTGAAAATAAAAGCAGAAATGTCGTCTAACGTAGACCGGCTTCTGTGAGTTATATATATATATATATTTATTGACTGAACCGTGAGAATGACTTATATCAGTGTGATATTTTACGAAATATAGGGTCAAAAGCATTTATACTAACCAAAGGAGCAATCGACATACAGTTTTACTTACATCTTTTATGGTATCATTATCTAGATTATTTATTTGGGATTCTTTTTTCGTAACTGAAAAATATAAAAGAAGATAAGCCTAGGTAAATCACCAGAGAGAAGAAAAATCCATAAAGCTGCTCTTCGTCAAAAAATGGTACCAACTGAATGGCTATTGAATACCAAGATGAAGGGGCACTAGAATAACGTTTTCTTGTGACATATGCTCCTCATAAACTCACTAGAAGTGAAACCCAGGATTTTCAGGTCATAAGTTAGAGATTGTTGGGTTGAAATCTACCGGTCAATATACCCAACTTTAACTAGCTCATAATATTGAGTGACGTCATTGCTGTTATTATTGGATGGATAACTACTTTACTTCCGACGTATTTGAATTCTATCAGTATACAACGCCCAATTATTTGTCTCAAATCCACTTTGAGGTGAGACATAATTGAAAGAACTGAAGGTTCTGGGCTTTTTAACTGATGAAGTTGAGTCCATATTCCTGAAGAATTTCACACTATGGTAGAATAAATATCCAGTGCTCTTTGATTTTCAATGGTCCATCAGTTATTATTTACCAATTACTAAAACCAGCTTGAAATATTCTTCACTAATATATCAACCAAAAATAATTTATATTTACCTAGTAAATCCGAATGATATCTATCTTTTTTCATTTCTACGTCTGAACTTAAAGTTATATCGATGACACTGTTTGTGTTAACAGATTCATCTACATCAGTTGGATTAATATTGGTTAACGTTGTTTCGGATATTTCTGATTGAGATTGTTCATCAATTGTTAGTTGAGGCGGTGGAGCTGTTAGTAAAATACCATGCTCTTCTGATAGTTCTCGTTCTTCTAATGTAATTACTAAAATGAATTAAAATGATTGATAAACAGATATTTAAGTAAATGGAAAATTAGAGGAAAATAAATTTTCCCACATAATGATACTCATAGTTTATATGTATTCAATCAATATTGTAATAAAATATACTCATATACACATCTTATAGTTTTTCCACGATAATAACATATCAGTTAACTGTGTGAGAAATAAATTTAATTTCAATAGTTGAGATCATGAGTCATTTAAAGCTAGACCACCATGGAAAAAGCGGAAGCACTGGAAGGTCGTTTCCTCCTATTGTGGGACTCCTCAGCAGTGCATATCCACGATCTCCCCCCGAGGGATTCGAACCCAGGACCTGTCAGTGAAGTTCAACCGGGTCTGTTGTGAGATAGTAAATCACTGGAGGCAATGGTGGATATGTCGCTCAATTTCGTGGATTAGTCGAAGTTAGACATTAACACCGTTGGATGACAACCGGCTAAGTGATCTAATGTTTAAGCGTTCGCGCACGAGACCGATAGGTCCTGTGTTTGAATCTCGGGGCGGGATCGTGGATGCGCACTTGTGAGGAGTCCCACAATAGGATGGGACGGCTGTCCAGTGCTTCCGGTTTTTCCATGATGATCTAGCTTCAATTGACTCATGAATTCAATTAATAAATTACAACAATCTCCACAAAACTCCTCTCTGATTAAAATGAGTCAGATTTCAATACTGAAATAAGACATTCATAATATTTGTCTGGTACATTATAAACATGAACGATTAATGAAATATATTTGAAGTAATTGATTGTGATGCAGTTTTTCTGAAGCTACTTTCTATTGTTTAGTTTTTATATACGGTGACATTTCAAAGTTATTTAATGAAGTTTACGAGGTAACATTTATTAAGGTAGTTAAAAATTCAGCTATCTAGTTAGTTGTAAGAAGTTATTTTTAATAGTTGGATTATTGAGTTAAGCTAAGCTAGATTACCATTGGAAACCTGAAAGCATTGGATGGACGTTTCGTCCTAGTATGGGGCTCACCAACAGTGCGCATCCACAATGCTATACGTGGGGCTCGAACTTACGACCTTTGGCACCTCGTGCGAATCATTAACCTCCAGACTACTGAGCAAGCATCCAACTGTGTTAATGTCTTACTTCAATCGATCCATAATCTTGCTCAACTCTATAATTGACTAATGAATTCACCTATTAATATTACTACAATCACCAAACATTCCCATTCTGGTAAGATGTTATCGTTTAGTGTATAGATTTAATTTCGATTTTTATCATAAATAATGAATAGTAAACTGTCAATGCATTCGTCAACCAAAAATTTCATTTTATTAAAACATGCCTAACAATCGACATGTATTTTATGTTAACTGAATATCACTTGTGTTCACAAATATCTCTGTTATACCAAACTTCTAAGAATTCTAAGATAATCGACTGATAACGTGAATTGATGGAATTTAGACGTACATATCACTGTGATCTAAACGATAAGAGTTTGTGTGCAAACCTGAAGATCCTCAGTTTCAACCTTGGTGAGATCGTGGTTTTGCACTGCTCATTGTCATCGATAGATACCTAAATTAGGTCGATTAGCGATATCGATAACATTCATTAATCTCTACAAACGTTCATATTAAATGTTTTTTTGAATGGTTACCATATTCTATTAATCATACGTGTACAGCTATACCAACTAATCACCATTGATTGATCACTGGATGATGATCAATGTCATGTATGTCAAGTCTTTATTAGTGCAGATCGAATGCTATCGACCATATCGCAATGTGGCCACCAGTCTAGGTGACTCGATACTGTGTGCACTATGTTGAGATTAGATGGTGGTCCAGGGTTTCCTGTCGACTACCTCCATCTACTACCATTTATACCAACTAAATTCAACATTCAATGTATCATTGACAATAAATTACAAAACTGAAAATTGAATTGGTATATGAAAAAAAACTTAATAAATTATAACAAAAGAATTATCTTTCATATTACCTTCTTGATCTAAATGTATTAAACTTTGCACATTACGTATCACAGTACATCTATATAGTACTGAAGAATCATATAAAACGTTTTCATTTCTTTCATAATTTTTAACTAAAATCAAAATTATTTATTCAAAATAACAATAATAATAATAATAAAGAATTAATTTACAGAATAGACAACATGGATTGCCATTTAACCATAATTTTTCAAGCATATTTAAATATTTCAAATGGGCCACTTCATCAATATTGACAATATGATTACTGCGTATATATAATTCGCATAGATTTAAACAATGAGAAAATGGTTCAAGTGATTGTAAACAATTTGAACTAGAAATTATTATTATTGTTATAATGTATTAAAGTATAAATTACCTCATATTGATTATTTTTAAATTTGGCATACATTTTAAAGTGGAAACATGCTTTAATTTTAAACCCCTATAATACAAAAAAGAATGAAAATTAGAAAAAAATATTTTTCATTTAAGTAGTATAACATTTTTTTGATGGAGTTTTGTTCTCTGAGCTAGATGGTTTGGTCGTGAAGCTTTCATCAATCTTCTGAACGACATCATCAATACAAGCTTCAGATAGAAGTAAAGTGTTCAAATTTCTCTATATGCGTTTCATAGAACAAAGCTGTGAAACAGCTTGTGCTGATGATGTTGTTCAGGAGAACGATGAAATCTCCACGACCAAACCATCCAGTTCAGAAAACAAAACTTCATCAAAATCATCCATCTAAGCTACAAATCTTCTCCACCATCTCAAATATTATAATAATTTAATTGAAATCATTTATTTACCATAAATTTAATTTAGTAATGAATTGTAAATTTTCTCCTCTTGAACGTAACATAATTAAATTTGGTGATAGATATCCATTACGATATTCTTCTTCATCAGTTAAATGATTACTTATATTCTCTTTGACCGGCATTTGTTTTTAAATGATTCGACAAAGCTAAATTAAAAGAAAATGTAAATATAGCTGCAAATACTAACTATATATATATATATTAGTTCAGTCGTCAAACAAGATCTATGATATATACGAATAATCGTCAATATTTAAACGAATCGTCTGACAGAATTCGAGCACCAAGTATAGAGGAGAGATTGTCTGTAAAAACTGTATTTAGAATTACAGCTCTCTGTTTATTACTAAGGTATTTTTTTTATCTACTTAATAGTTTTTGATCAGTCAGAAATATATTGGTAACTTTCATATGCCAATCGACTATAAATACCGTCCAGGAACCATATTAATAAATTAGGATAAATTCACTAAAATTCAGTGAAATAACAACCAAATCAAAATCTTTGCCAAATATTTTGATATACTAAAACCTGTTTATATTTTTGTTCTGCTGAATTTTTAAGTTTATGATTAAGGTTAAGCGTTTTTGCGCGAGACCAAAGGCCCTGTGTTCGAATCCCGCGGGCGTAATTGTGGATGCACATTAGTGAGGAGTCCCACAATAGGATACAACGGTCATCCAGTGTTCCCAGGTTTTCAATGGTGATCTAACATCAATCGGTTCATGATCCCAATCAAAAACTTAGTAATCTTCACAACTTTATACTGATAAAGTTGTAAGTATTGTATCGATATTAAATATACTCTATAAAGATTATTCTGCAAATTTTAACTTTAAAATTAAAACATATGGAAATGGTACATAGCGCTTGAAGTCTTTACTACAAATCAATCTTCTCCAGAATTTATTTATTCAGCTTAGCTTTCGTAACAAATCGATGAATTATGATAGTCGTAAAATTAGGATTATGCAGTTAGGTATATTTCGGGAAAATAGAAAAAAATGTTTAGGATGATGTGATATAGGCTTCCTTTTTGTATTGGGAAATCGAAACATGAGTCGTGGTATTTTAATGCAACTAATTAGTTAAATAAGTTGTCTTAATTATTTAGTGATAAATATCCGTAACTTAATTTAGCCGAAAAAGGACATATAACTCTGGTTGTAAACTTATGCTCATTTGATATAGAATAGATGAACTATGTTAGCAGTGAAATCAATGATGCGCATTTTATCTTACTTTGAACTCGTTAGCTAGATGTACCTGGATTCCAGAGTTGACTTTCATCTTAGGTTTCAAACATAGTACAGTTTGTTTCAATCTCCAGTACGTTATTCACATAGCTACTGACTATATATAGCTAATCACTTGTACATAAACGGAATAGTTCAAACCATTAAGAATTAAATTATCAACGTTTTACTTTTGTTTAAGTGTCATTGAACAACGATGTTTTCTCACCAATGTAATTTGGAAAACCACGCCTATATACTACACGGAAATATTATTTTTAGAACATCAGGCTAGGCATGCAGTATTAGAATTAATTTTTTGGAATGAACAGTGTCATTAAATTTTATTATTGTCAGTAGACTTTAGGTTATTATCTGCCTACGCATGGAATTTTATTCGACATCGTAGTAATTATTCTTTTTTGTATATGTGAAAAGAAAGAATAAATACCATATATTCATGTGCGTTTTTATTATGATTATAAAAAAATTTATAGATCCGTAGACGAGACGTACATTTTAATCCTATGAACATCTTGGTAAACTCAAAGGTACCCTTATCTATAGGCAGGTATGGAAAAGCAGCGAAAGCTTTAATTATGAATCAAATCAAACTAATAATATCAAAACCCCGTGGAAGTGATAACAACTAATGGACACTAAACATAGTACAGACCTACAGTATGTTCAATTTTTCCTAGGAGCGCATGTTACACTAATTCAAAAGTATATTAAAAAGACTTTGAATTTGCAACAGAAATGATGTCAGTGTTCAAAAACATTTAATGTCGACAACGTCGATGTTGAATACAAATATAAATCACTCTTTCAATGGTGACTTCCGAGTACATGGTTTCACTTACTGATAATTTCGAAGTGTCAAATTTTAATGTTTCACGCGATCAATGGATTTAAGTTTTATAGAGACTATCCATAAACTTCTGTCGGTGTTTTTTTAAAAGATTTACCAATCATACGGCCGTATGTTTTGTTAATTTGTTAGTGTTTCAATAATTTTGCTCACACGGAATTTAGCTTTGTCAAAAATCTAACCGGTGCTATTTAAGAAATTTTCTCGAGGCTTGAACTTCTTACGCGGAAGTTAAAAGCTTTTGTGAAGAATCGAGATTTCACAAGATTGATAGTCTCTAAGTTTTTATATTATCAATACTATCGTCAAACATTATGAAGTAAGGATATACGTTCCTTGCTTTTAGGAGGCAATCTATCAAGTACTAAGTTTGAAGTTGCTTGTAGAAATAAAGTACACCAAACTAGTCATTTAAGCTTCAATATATTCAAAAATACGACTGTAAGTGAAAACCACTTTGTCTGATGGAATAGCATATTTATATTTTCCAACAAGAAAACTGGCTTATTTGTGTTTCCGAAAAGGAAACCCTGATGTTTCAAGATTTTTTGAAACTCAAACAATACCAGATGAATAACATTAAGTGAAGGTTTCTGAGTGCAAAAAACATTAAATTTTGGAACAAGCCAGTCTTCAGTGTATTATGATCTATATAATAATACATTTCAGCCAGGTTAAATAGCATGATGATTACCGATTATGTTTTTATTCATAACTAGTTCACTAAAAATTGTTATCTACAAGCTAATTAACAATTCATAAGAGTTCACTGTAGATGGAATGTAGCATTTCGTGAAGTATTTTAGCCGGTCTATCTATTTGAGTTCTTGATTCCTAATTACTATTTTAACTGATAAATAAACCTAAGAAGCTAAAACACGACAGTACACTCGAATATAACAGTTTGCTTACGATTATCTCCTGCAATGAAGGTAAAATTGTGAGTAGGACGTAACTGAATTTCTTAGGGATGTACAATTATTTGTTGACTATCAACTGTTTTCTACGATATTAGTTTTGACAGAGGATTACGTTTTGATTCAAAGTATGGGGTCAGTTTAGTTTTAAAGCTATACAGTTATGTATATGTGGCAAATTGTTAGCCAAAAAATATCACGAAATTATTCTGTCAAATTTCATGTAATAACTTACTGCATATGAGCAAAAATAGAAAAATACTCGTTGACCCTTAATTTACAATATATATATACAATATTAAACCACTGAAAAATCAATCAGAAGTATGTAATGTAGAAACTGAAATATATTAGCCCTTACTCAAGTTACCAGGTTCCGCTCACACAGTGAGAGGAGTTCCAGAGGTGTGGAAGTGGCATTAATATCAATAATAGTAGTAGAAAAGACTAACTAAAAGAGAGGAAAAGAAAAGGTACAAGAATATTCCGGGACTCGGGGGCTTAGTGAGGACAAAGAGTGAATGCATCCACGTCATTGTCGTGTTATTCAACGTCTTCAACAACTGGTTACGATAATCGAGCAGACTCCAGATGTGTAATCTACCTGTTAGCCAACATAAGGTAGTACAATTATCAATGACCTTACGTACAAATCAATCCAAACCATCATACCTTAGTACGAGTCGGGATTAAAAGGATTGAGCATCAAATGTATGATTCGAGAGAATACAAATTAGTGAAATAAGAGCACCAAAAAGACTATAAGTAATTTAGAAATTCAAAATATGTTAACGACAAAGAACCGATGCACTTGTACCATTGCAAACGTCTTTGAGATAAGTCATTTGAAGTACCTAACCATTGGTTACGACTATCACGCGGACCACAGATAGATAGTCTACACCTACTAACATGGCTTTGTCCAACTACCAATGACTACATGAATTGATGTCATGTTCTAGTTTGGCCGTCAATAGCTTTCTTTAGCCTACTTCTACACTAAAATCGTCACCTGTCAAAGTAGTTGGCGGTCAAGAATACGGAACACATGTCTCAACCACATCCATACCTCATAACGTATTTGTCACTTCTTACCTAGCATCATATGATTAATCTCAGTACGGAACACTTGGCTATTCTAGCGTGCGTAACCAATGCTTCAAAGGCACCTACGGTAGAATACTACTAAACTAGGAGTATAGTTTATTTTTAGTGGCCTCATTTCACATAAAGAAAGCGATGAAGAGCAGAAATCTGCTACGCTGTGAATCCACTTTTTGCTTGATCGATGAACATCTGGCCTACACCACAGGTAGAGCAAGCTGGCAAAAGCAACTGATCCTTCAGAATTCTCGCTTATACTTTGTCAAGCATTTAGCTCAGCAGAACTGATGGAAATTCGGCAATGAGTGAAGTGGTTGACAGAATCAAACACATGGTTCTCTGTCATTAATTAAAGCATTAACGCAGACAGGTCCTATAGCAACATTTCGAGTTTCAAAATAGAGTACCACGTGCTATCGTGGTTTAATTATTATTTAAAGAGATCAGAAGACTCTAGATCATGTAAAGTTTTTACCAATCATAACTACATCATCTGAATATTCTAAGTCAATAAAATCTCATAATGAGAGGTCAGCACCTGGAAACCAGAGAAAGACGGTATTTTTAACTAGATGTATACAACAAAGCCTAATAAATACGGAAGAAGTAGACAGCCTCGACAATTGCTACTTGAAGTTCTCACTTCCGATGATGGTTTGCTACAGGCTCTGACTCGGATGATAGTCTATGAGTTGAGAGCTTTTACAAGGTTGACATACTTCACCGTACACCTTTCACTTACAATTACTATCACAGAATCTCTCGAATAAGAGTGTTGAACACTGTTTTACTATTAAAAACACAACTAAATTCGGATATTATAAAGTATATCTGTGTTGTAAAACCTTGTAAAGGAAGAATTTTTGGTCAATACATACGGCCTTTGTTTACCGAGTTTGCTCTTCAGGAGCCCTAGCTTAGTGTGAAGTGTTTGATGAAGCTAATATGTCGAACACCATACCAGTCAAATCTTTTCTTATGAGTTATTTTGTTT